TTGAATAACATTCGGAGCCAGTAAAGTTCGGCAGTTGTGATTGCCATGGCTCGGTACTCAACTTCTGTGCTAGATCGAGATACAACAGCTTGTTTCTTAGCACCCAAGATATAAGACGAGCCAAGAAAAAATTCAAATCCAATAGTGGATTTTCTATCATTCGGATTGCCAACCCAATCCGCATCACTGTAAGCAGTTAATTGAAGAGAGTCATGGTATAGAGCCGGAGCACTCTCTTGGCAATGGTCCAATGGGCGGTTGTAGGGCTGTGCATTTGTTGACTGAATATGCATTATTAGGCCTTGTGATTGTACAATATTGAAGAGCACTACCAACATGATGGTATTCAACGAGGTCCAATAAAATCTCACCATCAAATTTAGACATTTTGAAGTCGAAGACATTTTTTCGATCATCTTGGACTCGATTTTGAAGATCCAGAATATATTTCACCTGGCATAGGTGCAAACAATTATCGGTCCAAGTGGCTTGAATCCCTAAAAAGAAACCAAGAGGCCCGAGGTCCACGATAGCGAATTCCTTTTGGAGCTGCTGAATAATGTCCATAATAAATCCATGATTTGTACCTGTGATAATTATGTCATCCACATAGGTTAAAATAAATATATGAGTTGAAGTCGAGATCCAATAAGGCAGTGGACAATCGATAGAACCAAGCCCGATGGGCTTACTTGAGACCATATCGCTTTGTGAAGAAGACAAACATGATTAGGAGCTTGAGTATCTATGAACCCTTGAGGTTGTTCAATGAAAATCTCTTCCGTAAGATTTACGTGTAAAACGGCATTGGAAACATCAAGTTGTCTGACCGATCATTGAAAATAATTTGCCAAGGTAAGGACTAATCGAATGGCGGTGGGCTTGATGACTGGGCTAAAAGTCTCAGTATAGTCAACCCCATTTTTTTTGTTGGAAGCCCTTGGCCACAAGGTGGGCTTTGAATCAGTCAATAAAGTCATCAGGATGTTATTTGATTTCGTATACCCATTTTGTGCGAATTATATTTCGAGAGTGAGGCCGGGGTAAAGAGTCCACGTTCCATTGCGAATAAGAGCATTATATTCTTTCTGCATGGTGTCCATTCTAGGAGGGTCAATTTTGGCTAGGGGTGACAATGAGCTGAGGCGAGCTGAGCCACGAGCCGAAATTTGAAGCTCGAGCTCAGCTTAAGCAAAATGGGTTCGAGCTTTTTTGGCCCTAGCTGAGTAAAGGCTCGGGAAAAAAAATTTGAGTCTCGGCTTTGCCTCAACGAGCATGTCTGATTTTTTTATTTTTATTTGGGATAATTGCAGCAAAGGTCCCAAACCTTTCAGATTTTTGCGCACTTTACCTTAACCTTTGATTTGTGCCAACGGATGTCCCAAACCTTTCAAAAATATGCTCTGGAGGTCCATCTGGACGGATTCCGTCCAGTTGACCGTTCGTCAATCTGAAAAGTCAAAATTTGCCCAATTTTGATACAATTAGAAAGGGCAAAATGGTANAAAAAAAAACCCCACCCCACCCCACGCACCTCTTCCTCTACCCAATCAAGAAACCAATCGGCCACCACTGCAGTCCCATCGCCGCCTGTCGTCGGCATCCATCGACAGCCACCCATCCCAAGCTTATAAAGTTCACTTTAGGCTCAGATATGAAAATACAAGCAAAGAGAATGAGACACGGCCATGGCTGCAGATGAAATATACTCTTTCTCCGATTATACAAGTTACGCACATAGAACAGATACAAATAAAGATACAAGAACTATAAAGGGATGTTGATTTTTATGAACGGTGAAATCATTGGCAAAAACGAGAGCGGCAACCACCCTTTAAAAATTCCAATCTCTGTTTTGCCTCCGAGTTGGGACTTTCGAAGGAAATCAAATTGCTGCTCAACAAAGACCTCAATTTATGCTGATGGCTGAGGGAAGGCAAGCCCAATAGATTTAAAGCGTGTTTTTACACAAATAAATATGATATTACCCTTCCAAGTTTGGTGATGAAGATGATGTCTTGTAGAAATCCTTCAACGCTACAAAATTGGTGCCAAGACGGTGATAAACATGTCTCCCTTTTTAGTGCAATACCAGGGAAGAAAATCATTAGCCGCTTGCCTTCTATAGCTCTATCCTCTTATGGATGACAACACGAACATTTGGCTTTGATTGGGCTATACATGGCTTATTAGCAAACATCAACATCTTACTTCTACTTATAAGCCATTCTTTCTGCCGGCAAGTCACATACTGAGAAATAATATAGTTAACTGCTGGCGAAAAAAAGGTTGTTGACATGTTAATTTTGTGAAACCACTGGAAAAAAAGAGAGGGCAACTACCCTTACAAAATATCCTCTCTCTCCGCTGCCTCATTCATGAGTTTGGGATTTTTTGCAAGGAAGACTTGGAACATGTTTGGGAAAGCTTATAGAGTTAACTTATAAATGTTAGGCTCAGATCTGAAAATACAAGCAAAGAGAGTGAGACACTACCATGGCTGCAAAAGCCCAGTTGCATATGCAAGCGAAAGAGAGAATGTGATCAATATCCCTCTGTGCAATGCCACCAAGGGTTGCCCCACCAAGGTGGATGCCGACGATAGGCGGTGATGGGACTGTAGTGGTGGCCGACGGGTTTCTTGGTTGGGTTGAGGAAGAGGTGGGTGGGGAGAGGGGAAAGAGGAGTTGAACAGTGAGTTGGGGTTTTTCTTGTTATTTTTGTTTTTAGTTTAATTGTTTTTTAATTGTTATTAATATTTGGGGATATATTAGTTATAAAAGTACCATTTTGCCATTTCTAATTGGGTTAAAATTGGGCAAATTTTGACTTTTCAGATTGACTAACGGTCAACTGGACGGAATCCGTCCAGATGGACCTCCGATGCATATTTTTG